ACACACACACACACACACACACACACACACACACACACACACACACACACAGATATTCTCAGTGAAATTTCCTGCAATGCTGAAGCGGAGAATTAACGTCAAATGCGGGGTATTCATTCATCAGAATGTGTGCAGTGTTATGTTTGCTTCTGTGTGTGTTTTTGTGACCTCTTAGTCCATTATTATATCCCTCTGGTCACATTTGTAGCCCAGAGGGTGTGTGTGTGTGATGAACTGCGAACACCCCGTGCTTTTGTTATCAAGCACCGACGGTCAAACCTTATTTGAAGTGCTGGAATTGATGTTTTCTTTTAATGCTTTGACAAATGTATTTGACTCTCAATCAAAATCATAACTTGTCCGGTACACTGAAAAGATATGTATATTATATATGTTTTTGTGTTCGCTTTGCAGATGATGAATGACCATGAGGATGACTCCCCTGATAGCTGCATCAAAAAGGTAGGATAGTTATAAATTGTTATACTGCTGTGCAACCCGGATCACTCCCTGAATAACTATTCTGCTGGTTTTTACCAATTAATCAAAACTATCAGATTTCTTGGGAGGATGAAGTAATAAACTGCCATTTTGTAGCAGTCACAGAAAAGTGGGTCTTCTATTCCACATTTGACTGTGTTTGTGGGATCTAAAAATAAATCACTGGCCTCTGTGTGAGGTCATGTGAGCTTATATTTTATTACAAGAACCTCCACTAGCAATTTTTTTAAAGCTCTGTGATGAGCTCTGTGAAATGTGTTCATCCTGTTGCCCATCAGTAATGTCCGTCTATGTGGTGCACTGCAACTGCATTCATTGGCTAGCGTTTAAGTGACTAAAGCCTTTATTATCACTGTAGACTGAACAACAGTGATCTGCATTCTAAGAAACCCTCTCTTCACTCAGATAAAAAAAGACTGACGCGCACACACACACAGACACACACACAAACACACTATGACCGATACGTCTCATTGACCAGTCAGTGACCACTTTATGAGGTGATAAATTTATTGAAGAGGCTGGGCAGTTTGATTTTATGACCAGTGTCACTAGGTCAACAAAGAACAGCAAGAGAGTTCATGTCCATCTAATGGTCCATGAAAGAACAATGGCTTCTGGAGAGGGCACGCTCTTTCTGGGAAATACTAAAGCCATTGCAGGCATAGCCAACTCAAGTCAGTGACCGAGTAGTCAGAATCAGTTGTTGAAAAACCAGGTTATATTGTTTAGCAATATATATTTACAGTATCCCACCAAAACAAGAAAAACCCACTGAGAGCTGAATTTTTTTTGCCTTTAGATTGCTTGAACTTGTGTTATAGTTGCTCTCAGATCTTTGAGATGGCATTGCTGCAACATTTATTATATTTTTACCTTTGTGTTATCTTACATGACAAAATGGTCAAATATAAGTGGGCTGCTTTTTTAATATAAAAATCTGACTATCTTTGAATAAGTAATTGTGGAAGAGGACTGAACATCTGCATGGCAAAATTTACTTCAAGTCTTTTTAGTGCAGTTTACAATTATGGCTCTTAGAAAAGAAATATGAAATAAGTGTACTCATTTGCATTTCAGGTCAAGGGTCCTGTTGCTGTGGCATCTATAAACAGGCAGGCATGTAAATCACTGACTGCTTGGTTGATTTGAAATCCTACATTAGTCAATGAGCTTATTTTAAGAGTTGACCGCAAGTGGTTTGGGCTGTTCCGTCTTCCCCACATGTTCGTACAATGTGGAAAAACCTACTTGGTTTTATAAACTACCAACCACCTTCCACATAAGAGTGACCCATGCACTCCACTCTGCATGCACATGATCTCATACGCACACACTCACACGTTGTCCTCATGCTTAGGCGTTTGCATACATGCAGTGATAGGAGCATAGAGTTGTAATGTGTATACACTGAGGCTCACACAGATGACAGAACACAGGCTTACAACATGCCTACCTATGGTTAGTAAAAAAAAAAGCCCAACAGACACACGCACAAAAACACACTGGCCACATCTCATTATGCAGTGTGTGAGTTGCGGTGGGCCCTCATCGGGCGGTGGCAGACCACATGCCTGTTATGAATATGAATGAAATTATGCATGAGCCATTCCTTATGACATGACTCATTCATCTGCATGCAGTCACACACAAACAGAGGGCACGCACGCATGCACGCACACACAAACACCGGCTTCTTCTGCCTCTACTGTGTCATTACCATTGCTATGCTTGATTAAGGCAGAATTTTAATTTAGTCGTAACTTGTGAATAAACTAGTTCATTGCAGAGAAATGTGTTTGCATAACTGGTTATTAGTTCTCATTTGCTACACTGCACCACATTCCAGCGAACAGAGTTGCAGTTATGTATATCTATCTATCTATCTATCTATCTATCTATCTATCTATCTATCTATCTATATATATATATATATATATATATATATGTTATATATAGTATATTTTATAGATAGTAATGCATATCTACATACTGCCACTGTGTGCATTATTGCGTTACCGTTATAGAATAAGATGAGAATATGACTCACTTTTGTTTCTTTGGATTGTGTAATTTTATGGTAATTTTGCATAGTAATATATGACTTTTTTTTTGTAGAAAACTATGCAGCAAATAAAAATTCGATTAACAAAATAAATGAAATTTCAAGAAAAATAAAAGCACAAATAGATCAGAAAAGAAAAAAATCAAAATCAGCACACGCTCGCTCACATTGCGAGAGATTTAATAGTAACCCTACTGTAATCTTATATAGAAATATAAATTATGTTCGTCCTTTCCTTGTACTAACATTCCAGTTAATTTCATATTAATGTGTCAGTCTCAAAGATGAGTAAAGGCTAGAGGGAGGCACCATTAGAGCCAGGGATAAGGCGGGGGATAAAATAGAAGCAAAGATAATACTGCAGCTTCTTTCTTCCACTTACTAAAAGCTGCCCAGTGCTGACCTTATAGCTGTATGGGAGTGTGTGAGTGTATGTCTGTGAGTGTCGATGTTTGTATGTATGAAGTTTTTTACTGGCTTCCATGCATCTTTACACCACACACACAGGGCAAATAAAAAGGTCTGTTATCTGAATCCCTCCTTTGCTTACTCTCTCCATCTTCTTCCATTCATTTTATCCATCTCTTTTTCTCGACACATAGGATGGTGTTGTTGTAGCTATAGATTGCTATCAGGGGCTATTGGTGATAAGATCAGGGATTGTTTGGTTTGGTCTGGTCTGGCTATACAAAACAGGACTATCTCTCTGTTTAGCTGTCTAGGCCCTGCTTATGTATATTCCCTTTCACACACACACATACACTTAAGTATATGTGTGTGTGTGTGGACATTAATAGGGTATTGGAGGACTTGTGTTTCTTTTTGGATTTCTTGGATTTAAGGGTGGTAGTTAGATACGGAGCAGGGGGAAAGACCACAGTCTGTGCAGTGTGTGCGTGTTCGTCTGTCTGTGGGTCTCTGTGTGTGTTAATCCTCATCTTCAGAAGAGCGCTGCTGTCCACACCGACGTGTGTAAACACTCCAGCAGATCAGATGGCAGATAATGACTTCCAGATAGACACCCTCCATTCAACCAGCAGAGAAAATCAATGAGCACTGATTGCTTTTTTCCCAAGACGATCATCTCCCCCGAAGGGCTACTATCTATCTCTCTCTCTTTCTATCTCTCTTTCTCTCTCAATTTCTCTGTCTCTCTCGCCGAGCCCCATTCATTCACCTCTCAATACCACTGAGATTGAATCAATTCACACTGCTTTTCACAGGGGATTTTCTGTGAAACGATACAGGGAAATATCTGTTTAAGACGATCTCTTAAATCTGTTACTCTCCTTGTCGCTCTTCCTCTCTTTTTTGTCTGACAATAGGTGGGCATAGTCACCTAATGTATCAATATTGCATTGATGCATTCCTCATAGTGAAACATGTCTTCATTCTGTGCTCGGCAGGGACCCTCATATATACTTTTATTCACACTTAAGCGCCAGACTTTATTTAATCTGCAGGGTAAATGCAGTTTGCAAATTGGAATATGACATGGGTTGACATGAACTTTGACCTAGTAGGTTTTTCCCATTCCATGTTGAAAGCCTAGGGAGCCAAATGGGGATCAGCTGCAGCTCTGAGTCTATGGGTGTGTGTGCACACACACTGAGTATCTTTTTTTTTTCTTCTCCATATCAAGCTGGGGAATTGAGTCTCTAAATACACAAGCTAAATGACCCTAAATGTATGAGGGCTATTATGTGGACAGAGGGAGGCTCATGGGTCACAGAAGTGATCCAGCGCTTCGGGCCATGGTTTACCCTCGTCCAACAGCCTCACACTCCCCCATGCCTCCGCCTGCTTAAATAGGCTCATGATTGATTGATAATTATGATAATTTGTTTGAAATGATTATCTGGATATTATAATCACTGCCACCCCAGTGTGCCACGGGGGCAAGTCATTTTTCATAATGCTGAACGTCACAAATACCCCCTGGTTTCAGGGGAAGGCTCTGTGCATGTGTGCTTCAAACACAAACACACGCATCAGCACAAAGCGTAGTGCAGGTCTAAAGTTGGATTGTACAAAACATCTCTGTTACACTCAGAGGATGTGAGGTATGCACACACTAATGGAGAGCTCAAATGAATAACTGCATGTCTTTTTTTGGGATAATTCAGTAATTTTAAGTAAATCACATGTCATCAATTCATAAATATGAATTTGTGTTGCTTTTCTGTGAAATGTTGTATTTTTTTGTGGGCTGAGGGAAAACAATTATATATATATATATATATATATATAGATAGATAGTCACTCACTTATGCTTGAACTTCGTAATTATCAAAAAATATATAAACCTTTCCAGGATCAGGAAGTTCCCAAACATCTTCTTGTCATTCTCAGGCAGTGTGCAAACACAGCACAGCTCCAATCATCCCGTCTTCCTTGTCATCTAAAGGAAAGAAAAGGGAGGAGTGTGTAAGCATGCGTGTGTGTGTGTTAGGTGTTCGGGGGGCTGCAGGAATAATATTTGTGGTTTTTGCTTCGCCCCGAGATGACTTAATGATGATATGGGTCTCTTTCTTCTGCTGGGCAGGGTTACGTTTTAATGGGGCCTGAGTGACATGTTTTCACTTGGCTCCGTGCCCCTCACCCCCTCACCCACCACCACCACCACATCACCACTGTCATCCCCTTCCCCCCTTTAAAATATACACCACGAAATGCTGCACTGTGTCTGGTCCAATGAGAGGAAGAAAGTGTTCTGAAACCAGGAGATAATCAACCCTGAGCTTGTAGATAGTTTGTGTAGAGGTTATGGAAAGATGAGACAGAAAGACAAACAGGCAGATAAGCAGAGAAATTATGTATGGGAGCAAATGCTGCGGGAAGATCTTCTAGCTCATAACCTTTGCCTCCTGATATTGTACTGTGTATAAAAGTTAAA